GGTCCAGCTCCAAAGGAAGGACGTAGAACAATAGAGCACGTGTTAAAATTAATTTTTGGAGTGAATTGTTAATGGTATGGCCGCCAAAATAAGAAGTTTTACATTTACGACATTTTAATATACAATTAAAAAATTATTAGTTTTATTATTATTTAAATAATAAATTAGGTAAAAAATATTTAAAATATTATTATTTTTACTTAAAATATTAATATTTTTAATATTTTCGGTAAAATATCCAACAATAACAAAATTAATAGAACAAAACCTATAAAACGTCCAATAATAATAAAATCGGTAGAAATAATAATATTTCTGATAATTTTTAATCGATTTTATTATTTAAATAGTAATAAAATCGATAACATCTTTCATTTTTACTTTTACTAGTTTTCAATTTTAGTTTTATCATAGTTTAATATTAATGTTGTCTCTTGGCCTTTTTTTCTAGTAAAGATTATCATGGTTATCGGCGATTGCGGACTCCCAGTGCAGGTTTATTTATTGTTTTTTATTTTTGATTTGTATTTCAATATGCTTTCATAGATGGGATTGCCTTTAAGGGGAGATCGCCTTCTCCGTTTGTCGTTTTGGATCTTCTCCAAAAAAATTCCTCCATAGTTGGTGCTCGGAGCCGTTGGTTCATTCTATCACTAGGCGGTCATTGTAAGATTTTATGATAGTCCCGATTATGTTTATTCAGTCTATAATTGACAAGACGTTGTTGATATCTGATAGTGAATATTTCTCCGTATTTCTTTAAAAAATATTCACAAATATATTAATTTATAAATTCATTCAAAATAATTAAACGAATACAATTAAAAATTTATTCGTTTAACCATTGAGGCCACTTGATAAGTTCAATTTTAAAGTTTTTTTCGTTTAACTCACGACAAAGTCATCGTTGACATGGGATACAAACTTATATTATCATGTTATTAAGTGTTAACAGAGGTAATAAAAATACCAAAATAATTAATAAAATTAAAGTTTGAGTATCAATTTGAGAGCAAAAATTCTTTGGATATCAATTTGAGAGAATGTGCCTAATTTATATACCAAGTGTATAATTTTAATAGCTAATGAGAATGTTTTGACAAACTCAAAGATCAATTTAAAAATTAAAATCATAGTTTGATGATTCATATTTTAATTAACCATATAAGATATTTAATAAAATATACCTAATCCAGATATTAAATATATAATTTTAATAGTTATTAAGAATATTTTGATAAATTTATAATTTAAGAAATAATATCTAATGCTTTCAGCGTATTTATTTAACTGACACTTTTTATCTGTAATATTTCTTTTTTAACATTTGTTGACTAATATTTCTCGAAGTAACACCCTTTCGCTGACGTGGAGCAAAGGCGCATCCCGGAGACGCGCTTTCACGGGATTCTGATGACTCGGATGCCACGTGTGGAAGGCGCATCCCCGGGGACGCGCCTTCCATTTGGGTTCTGCTGAGTTATATGCCACGTTGGTATTTCTTTTAATAATAAAGATTTTATTTTTATTATTATTATAAATAATTAATATGTTATGTAAAGTGTTTTTTATTAGCGATCTATTAATTTTATCAGTTAATTATTTAAATGTTATCAATCTAGTCATTTATTATCAATATTTAAAGAAAATATTGATGCATAAGTTAATAAAATTAGTATAATTACACATTTAATCTTCAATAGTTACATATTTTATCAATTTAGTTTTACTTTTAATTTGTTGGAGAATTTGAGTTATATAAGAGAGGGGAAATGATTTTGGTATGAAGAATGAGTGAGGGTTGAAGGGATTTATATAGGAGAGGAGGAGGGATAGTTGGAGAAAAACGGATGGAGGCATTTATGACATTTAATGGAAGGCACGTCCCCGGAGATGCGCCTTCCACACGTGACATCCAAGTCATCAGAATCTCGAGAAAACGCGTCCCCGGAGATACGTCAAGCATTTGCCCTTGCTACTCCAATCCGTACAAATCAAGTGAACAAACAGAACACCGCCACGTGTCCCTAATTTATTGGAACGAAGCCTAAAAACTGACTCAGCCAACTAACTTATAACTCGGCTTTCCCGTACCTGCCCGCCCCGTCGTAGAAACCGCCTCTATTTCATTTCGTTTTATATTAACTTTATATCTACCCTCTAATTTTGATAAAATTTTCAATTTAGTCTTTGTATTTTAATTTAATCAAATTTTAAATTTAATTCACAAAAATAATATAACGAAATAAAAAAGTTTATGAATTTTTTAGACTAGAATTAAAACTTTAAAATATATAAATATAATTGGAAATGATAAAATTAAAATATAATTGGTATATAAATATAAGGACTAATGGAAGAAAATGACCCTCTATTTCACATCATCCCCTTCACAAAGTAAAAAATAATCGGCTCAAATGAAATCCCAAACGAGAAGTATTCAAAATCCTCCATTGCCACCTTCTACATTTTTCTTCTTCTTTCTGAAAGCCACCCAAATAAATTATATGCGAAATTCTTATACAATGAAGGATTATAGGTTTGCGACGACGATGAATCTTTGGACGGACGATAACGCGCCGGTTATGGAAGCTTTTATGACCTCCGATCTAACGGCTTTGTGGCCTCCGCCGCAATCCTCTGCCTCCACTTCCACTCCAGTAGCTTCTTCTGCTGGCGGTGCTGGTGGTGGTGGGAACGACCTCTCTATGTCGTTCCTCGCCCAATCTCAGCCCTCCGTTTCTCTCTTTAATCAAGAAACTCTCCAACAGCGTCTCCAAGCGCTCATCGAGGGCGCCCGCGAGTGCTGGACCTACGCGATATTTTGGCAGTCATCGTATGATTACTCGGGCAATACTGCCGTACTCGGCTGGGGAGATGGGTATTACAAAGGGGAGGAAGATAAAGGGAAAGGGAAAGGGAAAGGGAAAGGGAAGTCGAAGGTTTCTTCCTCTTCAGCTACGGAGCAAGAGCACCGTAAGAAGGTACTCCGGGAGCTTAACTCGTTGATTTCCGGCTCCGCGGTCTCTGTCGACGCCGCCGTCGACGAGGAAGTCACCGACACCGAGTGGTTCTTCCTGGTTTCCATGACGCAATCCTTCATCCACGGTAGCGGGCTCCCGGGGCAGGCCCTTCTCAATTCGAGCCCGGTTTGGATCACCGGTCCAGACCGACTGGCCGCTTCGATGTGCGAGAGAGCGAGACAAGGGAAAGATTTTCGGTTTGCAGACGATTGTTTGTATACCGTCGGCGAATGGGGTCGTTGAATTGGGGTCGACGGAACTCATCACCCAAAGCTCAGATCTGATGAATAAGGTTCGGATTTTATTTAATTTCAATGACGGGATCGAAGCGGGTTCTTGGTCTGTGAGTAATAATACAGGTGATCAAGGCGAAAATGATCCATCTTCGCTTTGGATTAGTGAGCCTAATAATGGAGAAGAACCCAAAGACAAGGGTACCGACAATCAAAATCAGGCGATTCATAATCCGAGTTCGAGTAGTTTAACTGAGAATCCGAGTTCTATTCATGTTGGAAACCATCATCATCGGCAGGGACATTGTTTCTCCTTGAATTTCTCTGATTATGGCTTTGATGGGAATGACAGTGTGAGGAATGGGAATTCTTCGGCTCGTTTGTTGAAACCGGAATCCGGTGAGAGAACTGGGAATGGTAATGGGAATTTGTTTTCAGCCAATTCTCAGTTAATGGTGGAGGAGAATAAGAAGAAACGGTCGCCGAATTCGAGAGGGAGTAATGAAGATGGGCTGCTTTCGTTTACTTGCGGTGTAGTTCTGCCTTCTTCGGGTGTGGGGAAATCAGGTGGTTGTGCAAGGGATTCGGATAACTCCGATATCGAAGCTTCGGTCGTCAAGGAAGCTGATAGCTGCAGAGCTGTGGAGCCTGAAAAGAGACCACGGAAACGAGGGAGAAAACCTGCTAATGGAAGAGAAGAGCCTCTAAATCACGTTGAAGCGGAGCGACAAAGACGAGAGAAGCTTAACCAGAAGTTCTACGCCTTGCGTGCCGTGGTTCCGAACGTATCAAAGATGGATAAAGCATCACTTCTTGGTGATGCTATTTCATACATTAACGAGCTTAGGATGAAGCTACAGAATTCAGATTCAGAGAAAGAGGAGTTGCAGAAACAATTAGACGAGATGAAGAACGAATTGGCTAGTAAAGAGCCTCGTTCAACAGCACCACCACCCCTGCCTGATCCAGACCTCAGCATATCGAATAAATTGGATATCAGTGTAAAGATTATCGGACAGGACGCAATGATTCGAACCCAATGCAGTAAAAAGAACCATCCGGCAGCAAGGCTAATGACCGCCTTGAAGGAATTAGACCTCGATGTGCATCATGCCAGTGTGTCCGTAGTAAATGACTTGATGATCCAACAAGCCACAGTGACGATGGGGAGCCGGATTTACTCACAAGAACAGCTCAGAAAAGCTCTATCATCCAAAGTTAGAGATGCAAAATAGATAGTGATTAAGCAGAGCCAGAGTTTCATTGTTTAAACCTGCAGCACCGGCTTTGGGAACGATATAAGGCTCCCGGTAGCACGCACGAGCTCTGTAAAATATCATTCTATTTCGCTCTTAATAGTTTGTAGTGTAGTTAAAACAGTTCTTAAGAGGTGATTGGATCTTGTAGTTTTATGCCTTCACTCTTGCAATGAATATAATATGTTAGTTTCAACATTGAATGAATTTGTGGGTATATTTCTTTCCTACTGTAGAGATTTGTTAATGCATTCAGGCCTGTTTTAGGTATATTTTTCCACATTCTAATAATGTACAGACAATTTGCATTCTGCACCATTTCTGGACTAAAAGGCTGTTCTTTTTGTAGTGAAACATTAGCAGACACCAAATGTTCATTTGCTTTGTGTCTTTTTAGAAGTTTTCAACGTCTTATTAAAAAAGAATGCTTCTTCCTTTATTCAAATACAATTATGAGGAAACAAAAAAGAAATAAATCCAATGATCAATCAAGAAACTTTTCCCCCTCTTTTCAACCCTTTTGCCTCCTCAAAGCTCCAATCCCTCCTCATCCCCGAGCTCCTCGCCAACCTCGGCTCGCTCTTGACGTTAGCTTCGAACCCCATCGCGCCATAAGTTGTATTATTGAATGTATGAAACCGGCGAGGACCCTTCTTTATCTTCTTCGGAGGAATCCCGGTGTTTCTCATCATCGTTCCAATTTGCTCATAAACTGGGGGACTCAGGTTCCCCGACAAACTCCTACTTATCTGAACACAACAAAACTTACTAATGCAATTTTCCTTACCGAAATCGATGTCGGCGTTCGAATTCGTTCTTTGCAAGATAGGGCAAGTCCAGCAATCGAGACTCATGGCCTTTTTGTCACTTCAAAAGAAGCTTGTTTTTGAGGAGGGGATTGAAAAAGAAAAGGAAAACTAAAGGAAGAAGAAGAGATGTTTAGCGGATTGGTGTTTGCACATAAAGAAGCTTCTGGTTTGGGATTTATGTTTATGTTCCCGCAAGCACAGGCACACCAATCCTATGTTTGGTAATAGAAAAAACACATTTTGAGTCCACAAACAAGTCATTGATGTCCCAAAAATCAAGTTTTGTAATCACTAATATGACCATTCCCTGTCATTTAGGCAAAGCCAGTACGATAAATTTAGCATTCAGTTTTATACCTGTCATTACATTGATTTCGGACAACAGCTTGGATGAACCTGAACTTGAACTCGATCCCAAACGCGAACTCTTCTTATAACTTGCATCTGCCAAAAGCATGATGTATGGCTTGTTAGCAGAAGCATCAAGCACGTGTTTTCGATTCTTGCATATTCGAGCTCATGCAAAGAAATTGCATTTTATTATACGTATAGATTTTAATGATTTTTTATTCATTTTCTTTTTTATATTATCTATTTTCTGCTATATAACTATCCTTTTTCAGTTAATTATATAAAAATAGTTTGACCTATTGGAATTAGTCTTTTTAACATAATTTGATTAATATTTAGTCTAGTTATTTTTAAAGGATGATGGCCCAGTTGGCTAGCACGTAGGTCTCATAGCTTTGTTGAGTGACCTTGGTCCTTCAGGTCGAGACTTATTAATTTAATTTTTTCTCTTTGTATATAAGTCTAATTATAGTTTTAATCCTTCAAATGTGATGAAATTTAGTTTTTAATCTTTTTGGCTTTCATTACTTGTATAAAATATATTATCAAGAGAAAGAAAATAGTAAGAAGGGGAGGTGGCGCAGTTGGCTAGTGCGTTGGTCCCATAGCTTGGTTGAGTTATCCCAAGGTTGAGGGAACGAGCCTCTCTCACCTTATGCCTTTTGGTCTAATTGTAGTTTTATTCCTTCAATTTATGTGAAATTTAGGATTTAATCTTTTCGGCTTCCATTACTCATAGGTTAGTATACAAATTATTAACATAGCTTGGTTGAGTAGAGCATAGGTCTCATAGCTTGGTTGAGTTATCCTAAGGTCGAGAGTTCAAGCCTCTCCGACTCCATGTTTGTTGATTTGATTGTAGTTTTACTCTTTCAACTATTGTGAAATTTAGGATTTATCTTCAAGGGGTGGTGGCGCAGTTGGCTAGTGCGTAGGTCTCATAGCTTGATGGTGTTATCCTGAGGTTAAGAGTTCAAGCCTCTTTCACCCCATTTTTTTGGGGTCTAATTGTAATTTTAGTCCTTCAACTATTGTGAAATTTAAGATTTAATATTTTCAACTTCCATTGGTTATAGGTTGGTATAGAAATTATTAACAGAAATAAATAGACACAAGGGCGAGTATCAACCGAGAAATTTTAACAAAACCAGTAACTGCATCAACGACAGATCTGGTTACTGTGTCTGCTGCAATGGCGGTTGAGAAGGTCGGTCGTCGATTAAAAAAACGGCATCAAAATCATCGAAAAAGGGAATAGTGACAGCATCAATAACGTCTTTCGGATCGGAAAACATGCAACGAAAACTATGAGCAAACTGGAGATGATTTAGATCGGAGTGGAAGGTTAAAAACGAGTTCCGTTTGGTAGGAGTCAACATTAGCTCAAGCTGTAGCCTAAGTTTCTTTGAGGGATAAGTTACAGAGCATGATGAGTTCGAGTCTCATAAATGTAAAACATAATAGAGATAGAATAATTTTATCCTCTGTTTAAGATTTTGGTTGTATTTAATTTTAGATATAATCGAGTTTATGTGATTATCGAATGTAAAATGACACTGCACCGCTCTCTTTACCACAATATCACTCAAACCTTAATCTTGTTTCTCATTTTTCTTATTCATTTCATGCCATTCAATTTGGCAAACTTTTAGATGTTAAAGAAATATTTGCACACTTTTAGCTGTCTTTGATTTTTAAAGATGTTGGACGTCTATGCCCTAGTCGAAGCTCTAGATCAAGCTCTTCAATGGATGTTTCCTCGCAGTTGTTGCTTCTGCTAATGTAATTCTTTTCTCGATTTACACTATTGTCAGCCGATATCTTTGTTGAAGGCGAAGGACTATTAGCTGTTGGAGGCGGTGCCGGAATGTTTATTGATGTTACCATCGAGTTGAAAGAGGTATATGGTGAAATGGACCATGCATTCATAGGTGGAGAAGAAATGAACACCCCATTAGGGTTATGGAATTGTTGCCATTCGTGGCGAATTCTTGAGTCGGTATAAACAGAGTAGACGAGGAATTAATTGTGGTAGATGATGAGTTCGGGCCACCAGGCTGTATAGATTGTACAGTCTGCTGGAGTCGAGCTTTGTCACGGCGTGAACATTCATGTGACCGCCAAGGGCTTGAGCCGAACGAAATTCCCTTCGGCAAAAACTGCAGGTATAAGACCTTGGTGGCCAAGTAGTCCCCATGGCATTACCCGTGTCCTCGGCAAAGGCCTCAACTTCCCAGGAATCATCGTCCGGTTCATGTGGTCGCGCCTTAGGGTACCACATCCACAAGCCGGTGGTTGAGTTCATGTCGGCCTGGTGGTGATGTTGGTTCTGGTTTTGTTGAGATTGGACTAACTTTTGAAGTTGGGTCAACGAGAGAAGGCTGAGCTCTGCAGCCATGGTTGTAGAAGCATGTAAGATAATGGGAGACAAGGAGAATGAAATATTGGTGGGGAAAATGGTGTTAAATATAGGGGGAAAATGGGGGATGAGGTTTGGGAATGTAGAGACAAAATGAAACCCTTAATTAAAAAACAATATGAGTTTCAGTTTTGTACCGTCCACTTGGATGTATCTTGTTGCATTAGAACAATTTAAGTCAATTTCACCATGGAAGCTTATCTTTATAACCATTAATTAAAAAACAATATGAGTTTCAGTCTTGTTTCCCCTTGCGGCAGAAAGCTGTCTAAAAACAAATTGAAGAACATAGATATTAAAGACAGAAACAGTCCCCTTTCACAGATAGCTGTTGTCGTCAATATCGACTTGAACAAGAATCACTCGAATATCTTACATTATTTTTTATTTCCCCAACCATTGTTTGCATCGTCTTGTTTCCTCATTGCCATCAGATACCATGTACATAGCTGATTTTTTATTTTATGAATATTACAGTTATCACGTCCACGTTACTATAATCATAATGAATTAGTGTAATGTATAAATGAAATTACAACTTATAATTGTAATCGATATATATATATATATATATAAGATTATAATCAATCACAATAATTTACAAACAAATGAATTAATACTTGAAATGTTTTCTGATAGAATATACATATAATGAGATCAGAACCTGAACTGAAAATAAGTTAATTTTTAGGGTTTGTCTGTTTCATGCCAAATGTTCTATTAAAAATATTTGTTTCAGTGTTTGACAAGAAACATGAATTAAAATTAATTACAAGTCAAAAGAAAAATCACGTATGTTGCTCAACCCCTTATACGTGTGTGTGTTGGGGGGGATTGTAGTCTCTAAACAAAACAGGGATCAAGGGATCAGGTGGTGAATCAAAAACAGTAAAGATGGTATCTTGCTCAACAGTGAGTTTTGCCATAAGATCCGCAGCTGAATTTGCCTCACGTCGGATAAGTTGGAAATCAACACTCCATGCCCTGTTGCAGAGGATAGCAATAGATCTGACCAGGTTGTGAGGACTTGCTGGAGAAGGAGGAGAGACCATCTTGTAAACGTCGGCATTATCCATTTGCACAACAACTCTCTCGAAGCCATTAGACCAAGCCAAATTCAAACCTTCCAAGACACCCCAAAGCTCCGCTTGAAGGATAGATGAATGTCCCAGCTGTTTATTTAAAGCCGAGAGAAAATTTGCCTCATAATCACGAAGAAGCCCCCCCGCCGAACCTGCATTTGTTAAGAGAAAAACGGCTCCATCCGTATTGATTCAAATTTCTCCACGGGCTGGGGGAGACCATTTGACAAACTCCTCTGTTGAGTTAGGGTTATTTCCAGAGGTGTCAATAGGAGCTGCATAGAATTTAGCCCAGGTTTTGCTGATATGAAACAAGGACGGGAAATCCATGCTAGCACCTTGGAATAGCAAAACAATACGTCTTTTCCAATTTTGCCAGACAATTGAAGCGAGAAAGATGTTCCAGGGACAATCGACGCTAGCAATATACTTCGATGATTTTAAGTTAGCTTTGAACCAAGCCACATGAGGGAGGTCAAAAAAGTCATTGCAGGGGAGAAGATGGGTGAGCGAGGACCACAAGTCACGTACCAGATTGCAATCTCGGAGTATATGAAGAGTGGTTTCAGTCGAGGTGCCGCAGGCAGAACAAACAGGGTTCTGGTTCAAACCACGACAGCATCTATTATGGTTCGTGAGAATCCCATCTTTCACAGCGAGCCACAGGAAGCCACGCTCTCTCTCCGGGACAGCCAGTCTCCAAATGAGTTTCCAACGCTGATCATTATCATCCCAAAGGGGAGAAGAGAGGAGTTGATAAGCACTTCTAGTTGAGAAACTTCTCTTGGCGCCATCTATCCAATAGCAGCAATCACACCCAAGCGATCTGTTATTGTTAATAATAGAGATGTGTAAATTCGTGTCCAATACAAGATAATTGGGCAAGGCAAGATCAACAATAATATTTTATAGATGTTTCTAAGTATTTAGAGATAGAACAAGAGTCGCGCGGATCGTGGTCAATTTTGATTTGAAGGCGAGAACTTGATCAAGGTATATACCATTAAATGACAAAGTAGTGCACAAACTTAGGCTCCATGTTACCATTTACTTTGAATATTCATATGAGAATTTTAGATTAAAGCTTGGAGTACTTGACTTTATTGTATTTAATTGTATGTATATATATATGCACTGAATATAACATTAATAAATTATATTAGATGACCCTTTTTCTTATATGTAATGGGATAAGAGGGAGGTAGGATAGTAGACTGTCCCCAACGTCAGGTTGAGAGCAACTTCTATGGGAGACCTCCAAATTATGAATTGCCTTCCGTGGGACTCAATCCCACGACCACAAGATTAAAAGTCTTGTGCTCTACCAACTGAGCTAGATGGTATATCATATGTATTACATTGCTGTCAAAAAATAATAATGAATATTGTTGTTACATGTTATTATTATCAAGTTCAGTCAAATAGATTCTAATAAAAACAAATACATTGAATTTTCTATAACATAGTTAAGTAAATTCCTTTTTTAAAAAAGTCACATAAATTGAATAAATATAATGATGATTGATGAAGTTGAAGCCCATAATTTTCGGGAAGGTTGCGGCATTCTTAATATACAATTAAAAAAGACGTTATCAGTTTTATTATTATTTAAATAATAAAATCGGTAAAAAGTTATCTAAAACATTATTGTTTTACGTAAAACATCAATGTTTTTTTAATATTTTTAGTAAAGTGCCCAACAATAACAAAATCGGTAGAAAAAATAACAAAACGATAGAAGTATTAATGTTTATGATAGATTTTTACCGATTTTTTTATTTAAATAATAATAAAACCGATAACACATTTTTTTAGCCGTATATTAAAGTTATCACATGTGATCATTTCCCACAATTTTCGGCTTCGGCAGGTAAGAAAGTTTCCAATGGATGAAATCTGTAAATTATGATTAGATAACAACTCAATAATAAAAAAGATTAAAATTACATATATAATTACAAAATGAAAATGAAGTTAGAAAGTCGACACGGTAATGCGAAAGAAATACAATCTAATATAAGGTTAAAAAAATACGTTATTAAAATTATTAATATTTTTTATAGAACATAATCTAAAATGTTATTCTTTCTACCAGAAATATTAATATCGAACGTTGCCTAAGATGTTAATATAAAAAATATTTATTTTAAATAATAAAATTAACATTTCTGTTAAAAAAATAATATTTTATCAAAAATATTAAAAAATATTAACATTTTTAGTTACGTTATTAATCTTATATTAAACTTACTATCCTAATGATACGACCTTCCACAAGAAAGACAAGTACAAAAGACTGTGGCTTTGGACACCACACGTTTTCATACTTAACTCACTGAGTCGGCAAGTGGCAGAACCCCTGCCTCAAATTCAACTCATTTGAATCTATACCTTTGAATGGAGTAAGGTCAATCTTGGTGTCCTAATTACATCCTCACAACTGATATTCATCCATTCCCATTACTGTTTAATCTTATAATTAAGGCAATTATCATCAAATCAACAAGCAATTAAGATGGGCGATAAAATTAGAAGGTTTCCACCATTGGTTTATTGTTTCAAAATTTTTAAATAAGACTTCAATTTTTTAGATTTATTTAAATATATATATATATCAAATATTTTAACTTTACTTACATTCTCTTTATTCAAATAAAACTATACGAGTTATAAAAATTATCATACATATCCAACTGAGCTGGACGGGACACGTGTGATATTAAAATAAGAAAGACAAACGTTATTATTAGTCTCAACTTAATTTTTAATCAAAATTAATATTGTAATAAATCCAATTAGTACTTGTTCAGACAACCATTAGAATTGGATATAGTTAGCAATTGATTAGGCTTTCATTTTTCAAGGCTGGCATAGGCATGAACAGTTGCACCTAAGAGGCGAAGACAAAGTTTAATAATATTTAATGATTGAATTAATCAATTATTAGCATGATTATAATGTATATTAAACCCAAATCAACAAGTCGTATTAGATTTCAGGTCATATTGAATGGATAAACTGATCTCAATAATTATGAGGTTGTTGTTATCTCTTAAAATTTCGAATCAAACACGATATCTATAAAAATATATGAACGTTTATCATCAAATAATTATAAATATTTCGTGCATATATTGCCTTGTGCGTATGAAAGGAATAAAAAAAGATTTAGGGTCATCTTTTCTTCATTCATTATTAATGACTCTTAGTATAAATAGAGAAGTCTAACCAATCGCCGCATTTATTTTGTCCTCATATAGGACAAATCTAATAATTAATCTTAGTTAAGAATAGATTCAGCTTTTAATATTAATATTTTTTTCTTGAATTAATTATTTTTAATTAAATTTAATCATCGAGACTTTTAGTTAAATTATAATGATTTTAACAGAAATGATTATCAAACCGTTTAATTTACCTAAAATAAACATTTTTAAAGTATATGTACCATAGTGAATGATTTGCTAAAGATTAGGGGTCATTTGTGGAGTTGTCTCTTTTATTTGTAAAGAGGGTTAGGTACAGTCAATAGTGCAGGCAACTTCATGAAATAAATAGTAATATAAAATCCAAATTTCTCCAAGTCAATCCAAAGCAAAGGAGCAGTGACGGCTAAGGAGGGCCATCCAAAGTGGGCCGTGTGGGGAGGAGGAGGCTACAAGAATGGGTCCCACGCGCCGCTCCACTTGTGCCACTTGCCCCAATGAAATTTCCTCTATTTCCTCCATGAATTATGACATCACTCTCTACTTAAACAGAACATTTTATTTAACAATCATGAATTAAGTAATCTCATCGTTTTAAGAGCGTAATTGATCATTTTAAAGATCTCGAGTACAAATACGTCATTTATAATAGTGATTAAATGTTTATTATTAAATAATGAATAGTTTTACAAATATATATTATCTTCTAATTAGTAATTACATACACTAATAAAAAGTATTTCATTTAATAAACTATTATTAATCTATTTAAAATTATTATAAATGAAATAATAAAAGAATATTATTAATTACCATTTGCTCAAGAAAACGACAAGCCTTGGCTCCCACTTGCTGGCTTGCTGCCACCTTGCCTACAACCATCCCATGAAAGGACAAAATTTATTTATTAAATATTTATATTCCGTATATTAATATAGGGTAAACTATACTTTTACTATCCCAAATATCACTTTTATTCTATTTTGATCACTCAATTATATTTTTTAAATCATATATAATATTACGTTTTTGTTTCATTTTAGTCACTCATCATTAAGAAGTTAACATAACTATTGACATGACATTTTAAAAAAAAATCAATGATGTCGTAATATTATCTTATAGTGACACACTTATAATGACACGTTAGCATCACTATTAATTTTTTAATGGGAGGCCAAAATGAAACCAAAACATAGCATTAGGTATATTTTTAAAATAAAAATAATTAAATAACCAAAACAGACTAAAAATTATAATTGAAGTACTAAACTTGTAATTTACTCATTAATATATTATCAGTAGATTATATAACAACATATCATTTAAAATATTATAATCATTTATATATAAAAAAAGGATATAATGTTAAAATTAACCTTCAATATTCATTGAATAGTTATTTTATCCCTCGTTATGTGTTTTAAGCATATTAAATCTTAATGCTTTAATTTTTTTATTAAAATTATCCATGTTAGATGAAAATTATTAATTAATTAGTAGTAAATGAAAGTTATTGATGTGATATTTAGCATAATATGTGTTACATCATCAAATGTGATTATATAGCATGTTGAGACAAAAATAAGATTTTATGTTAAGAAACGAACTTATAAAACTTTATGAGAAGAAATATATATTATCAATAGGAATATAAAGAAAAATATTTAATTTAAAATTTTCCAGGGAGCAACCGCCTCCATCTTCCCAATAGTCCATCCCTAATAAAACGTGTCACATCACCTAAGATTATAACATAACACATGACATATCAACAATTAAGCACATGTAAAAAATGATACATCAATAACATCTATTGATAGTTAATCCACTAGCAAATTTCATCTAACAGTGATAATTTAGATCAAAACTTAAAACATTAAAATTAAAATGATCATTTAAATAAACATTAAGAGTTAATTTTAATATTTTATCAACAAAAATAACATTCTTTACTTAAATCCTTATTAACCTCAAATATTTATTCAAATCCAAATAATTTTGTTAGTTTGTTTCCTATTAGAAAATCCGAATTGGTGTATGAAATAAATGATTTAGGTGTTAAAGAAATTGTTATTGTCTTTTGAGACTTCAAGTTTAAATACTATGAATATTAGAGGCGTGAATGTTCAATATTAAATAATTGAAAATTACCTTTAAACATATATTATATCTTGGTTGTACTTAAACCAAAGTATTATAATAAAATCACAAATCCGAACCGAACCAAACCAAACACGCTCCAAAGGAAGAGAGTGGGATTGGCATCCACCACCTTTCTCTTCTGCAAAATATATTAAAAAAAAATTATCGTTCAACTAGTTGCACCTTGTTCATATTATTTAAACCTTTAGGGAGTAAAATGATTGAGCTTTTTTAGACTTTGTCCCCTCTTCGCCCCTTGTTTCTTTCCCATTTCGTTGCAGATCAATCGTTCTCCTCCTCCTCTTCTTCTTCGTCTTTGTTTTTAATTTCTTTCAATAAATAAAACTCATTTTCTCCTTGATATTATATATTCAAACGCCATTTTAACTCTTTTCCCCCCTTTTTTTACTGTTAATTCCCTTGGATGCTCGCATGGCCGGTCCCGATTTCGGCACAGCTTCTCGCTACGTTCCACACCATCTTCAAAGACCGGATATTCATCACAATCACCAACTCGAACACGAAGACCACGATGTTTCAAACAACCGCGGTGGCGGTGCTGACGGTGGTTCAGGCCAAGCCCAGGACTTTGTCAACGGTGCTCACTCGGATGACCTTGTTCTAGCCCGTAGGCCGAGGGGTCGTCCACCGGGTTCCAAGAACAAGCCGAAGCCGCCGGTTATCGTCACTCGGGAGAGTGCAAACACGCTCCGAGCTCACATTCTGGAAGTTTCGAGTGGATGCGATATTTTGGACTGCGTTGCGAGCTACGCTCGGAGGAGGCAAAGAGGGATATGTATATTGAGTGGGACAGGTACGGTGACCAACGTGAGCATCAGGCAACCGGCTGCGGCTGGTGCTGTTGTTACCCTTAATGGAAGTTTCGAGATTTTATCGCTTTCGGGTTCGTTTTTGCCGCCGCCGGCTCCTCCGGGAGCCACCAGTTTGACGATCTTTCTGGCCGGCGGACAAGGGCAGGTTGTTGGGGGAAGCGTGGTTGGGGAACTGATGGCGGCTGGACCGGTTATGCTCATAGCATCATCGTTTACGAATGTGACCTATGAGAGACTACCTTTGGAAGAGGATGATATGAAAGACGGCGGTGACGTAGATGACGGTGGGAATAACATGTTTTCCGGGGCCGGAGCCGGTCCGGGTGGGTTGCCTTTCTTCAATATGCCTCCTAATGCCCATTTACCCATTGAAGCATGGCAAGGAAACTAGGTGGTACATTGACCAATGCTTTGTTTTAGGTTTTTTCTCTTTTAATTTCTTCTTTGTTTTTCGGATTTTTAAAACTTATTCTCCATAAGAAATGTTCTGATGAAGCATGAAATAATATTTGTCTAATCTCCTAATTTTTATTTTCCGTTATTTTATTATACATATAAATATTTATTTACCCAATCATTAAATTTATCAATATATATTCATATTTTATTATTATATTTAGATCAATACATATACAATTCATGTTTCTCGTTTACAACGTTTCCTCTCATTGAATAAACAAAAGCAAAAATTATTGAGATTATTTCATTTTTTTTAATGTCTTATCATTCTTTATTATTAATTTCATTTGTTTATTTTGACTCATTTAACAATTTTAAAATGATATAAAATTAAAAAAATTTAGGTAATGTGAATAGATTCTATCTTTTATATATAAAAGGGTCAATTCTTACCTTAGATAAATATTTCATTTGTTTAATTTCGCCGAGGGTTAAACCTTGTTGGGAAGAAGGTCTTTGTTTCATGATTTCTTCTTGTTCTTCCTTAAATAAAGATTATAAAAAGTCATGAGTTCTTCCATGGTTGATTTTTTTTAAAAGCAAAATTGGTAAAAATTCCATTTTACCTTTGCCTTCTGCAACATCCGGGGATGATCATGGAGAAAAATGGTAGCCCATGCAGCGGCTCGACCTGAACTTTCACGACCCGCGATAAAGAACAAAAGTAGTATAATAGCAACACGTTCATCATCCAATTCTTCACCATTTGGATCATCGACTTCCCTAATAAAATCAATCAGTCCTCGTTTCGAGTTCGGGTCATCATGTTTCCTCTCTTTAAGCATACCTCGAATCTCTTTCATCTGCATCTCCCTTGCCTTGACCGCTCTATTATATGCAAAACCGGGGATGTTGATCGGCATGCAAAACAATCCACTGAATACGTCTGTATAATACTTCTCCATCGTCGCGATAATAGTGTTGTCGGTATCAGAACCGGGAAAGATGGCCATCATGACTTTGAATGTGATCCTGTTCACCTCAGGAAAGAAAAGGATCGGCTTGTTCATCTTACTCCATTCTTCCAATGCACCGATTACAATCTCTTCGATGCTTCCTATGTACGATGACAGTGATTCTTGTTGATTAAGACCCACTGTTGTTGTTAGCCTGCGGAACCACTTGTTAACCGAGCTCGAAATGCAGTCTAACGATGTTACATTGAGACTAGATTTGAAAGAGGGTAACCCAATTGGAATTTCTAGTCGTCTGTCAACACTTTCCTGCATAGCTCTGGACTTCAAACTATGATGCTTGGTTTCCATAAGAAATTGGTCTTGTAAATGCCTGTTTCACCGTACCTGGGTTGGTTTCAAAATGTTAAACAAACATTTATAAATTATGTAGCTGTGATCTAAACAAGTATTATAGATGATAATCACCTTTGTTTGAGATTGTTGATGAAGGATTCTGGGTTTTGGGATTGGAAAGCTCTTAGGAAAGACCACATGTTCATCAATGGCCATCCCATATCGCCTGGAGGGAGAGAGCTCAGCTTCTGCTGCTGCTGCTTCAGATTTCCAAATGAGAAAACACATAAAGCTCTAATGATGATTGCGAGAATCAACCATGGCAAATCCAAATCCATTTCTTCAATTCTCTACGTATGGTTTCAGTAATTTGAGCTCAAATTACTAGTGGGAAACTGCCCTCAATCATCTTCAAAACTCTTCTTAAATGCAGTTGTTAGGCCGATTTTTTATTAATTAATTTTTTTTGTCTTAAACTTATCTGATTTATTAATTAATTTTTTAAGATAATCTTTCTAGCCCAATTTACTATTCACAACATCAATATTTAAACTCTTAATTTTCCTGAAGGGATAAAATGGGCAAAACTTTCGAGATAATGTTATGAAAGAAATTAATTCACGAGATAATGTACTTCCCAGATTAATTGCTCAAATATGGTGAAATTCACAGTGTATACGTGGCCAGCTTCCCGGCGAACTCACAGAGAGAATGAACGTGTTGCATGGCACATGCACGTCCCAATACATAGGTCGCCATGCTCTTCGGGCGACCTTGTAGGTCGCCATGCTCTCCGGGCGACCTACTCTTGCTCGCTCGCTCGGCTGCCCTCGCATAGTTCGCTCGGCTGCCCTCGCATAGCTCGGTCGGATGGCCTCGGATGCTCTCGTATATCTCGGTCGGATGGCCTCGGATGCTCTCGTATATCTTGACCGGATGGCCTCGGATGCCTAGCGTGTTGGGACGTGCATGGCACATGCAATCTCTCGTAGCTCGCCAAGAAGACATGGCGACCTAGTAGGTCGCCCGGAAGGCATGGCGACCTACGGCCAACACTGTAGATTTCACCCTATTTGAGCAATTAATCTTGGGAGTGCATTATCTCGTGAATTAATTTCTTCCAGAACATTATCTCGAAAGTTTTGCCGATAAAATGTTTCCTTCCACTAAATCAATTGATTGTTGCTTTAAATGGATTTTTTATCAATAAAAATAATTTAAATTTAAATTTTATTAAATACTAAAATATAATTAAAACTTATTATTAATTTAAGGAGGATTATATTATATCTAAGGAAAATAGAGATCTTACGTTCGAGTATATCAGTTCTGAGACATGTTCTACTTCCTTCTTCAAATGACACAAAATCCCATACTTTATGATTTAAATTTCTAACAACATTTAAAATTAGATTTTAATAAGCTAACGACAGAGGATAATGTTACAGTTGTTACTTTATGATTTTACTCGCATTTCATCTTCAAGGAAGGAATTATTTAAAGTAGGGGCAATAACGGATTAAGAAACTAAAAAAAAATAAGAATTTAAAATTTTAATACTATTTCTTAAAAAAAATAATAAGAATTATATAGTATATATAATTATGTTGTTTGATAGTAATAAATCTTAATTTTTGTTGAACATTTTGTATTAGTTAAAACTGAGTACCATTACCAAACATACTTAAATCAAAATTTAGGTGTTGTGCTGGATTTATGTTTTGTCTTCTCAAGTTGGCGAGCTTGGCTTTAGGGTGGGGGATTCAATTAACTTCACCTTTAAATGTAGCCACATTTAGACTTTTCCAGCTTCATATTTATTACGGTAAGAATTTAGGTTTCTGGATTTAGGGTGTGGTCTAAAATGTCATATTGTTCCGATTTAGTACCGAGGATGATGGATTTATGATTTTATATTAGGAATGAACTTATAAAATTTTAGAAAATGAATTTATAAAATTTAAAAAGATGAAAAAAATTATTAATAAAAATTAAATTATATAAAAATTTAAAATTTTCAGAAAAAATAATCTGTTTTAGCTCGGCTCATACCATGCCTTACCCCGATGTCTACCTTCTCCTATGTGTCGCTGCTTCCTCTTACCTTGTTCTTAAAATAACCCAAAAAAAAAAACTATATAATAGTTTTACCTACTTTCATTACTAAAAAATTTAAGGATAAAGTATACAAATAGTCCATCGGCTATAGAACAATGATTTGTTAAGTCTCAACTATTAAAAGTTACAAAATAGTCCGTCGATTATAATGTATTGCAAAATGGCCACCTGGCTATTTATATGTTTCAAACTTGTATTTTTTCCGTTAAAAAATTTGATGACAGCCTGAGATATACGTTAACATGTTGATTGAGATAAGATAGTCGTTTAAGATTTTGGGATCATATTTTATCATATCACAATCAACAGATTATCGTCAGTTCAAAATGTCATTAATTTTCTAACAAAGAAGGACGGGTTTAGAATATATTAATAATCGGGTGATCATTTTATAACTTTTAATAGTTGAAGACTTAAAATTAATGGACCATTTCGTATCTTTTTAATAGTCGGCTATGTCAAAAACTCTAAACTAGAAAATTCACTATAATATCAAAATTGCAAGAGAAGTTGTAATGACACCTAAGGTTTAATGAATAATTTTAATCTCATTTATTTATTTATAAGCAGGCCCGACTCAATGCATGTTACAGATGGATCTTAATCGACAGCATGTTTGAGGGAGCTCTCACCCTGGTCCCCACCAAATTGATCCAGCTCAGCCATCATTGTTTTCATTGTTTTTTTACGCTCTCAAGGATACGACAGTGATCTGGTCGCGGTCCCATGCTCCCGGCCATGCTTCCAATCCCATCCGCTTGATTCCGACCCTCCGCTTTGGATAAGCGGGTGCGGCTCATTCTGGAGATCCACGTAAGCAATTCTTTACCCATCATTTATTTTTGTCCCCTTAAAACAATAAAAGGGTGAAGTACATATATGGTCCCTCGACTATAATATTTTACTTTTTTTGAGTCCATTAACTATTAAAAATTTCAGAATGATTCCCTAACTATAGAGTGTTATTTTGTTGAGTCTCCTTACTATTAACAGTGACAAAATGATCATCTGACTATTTATATATTCTAAACTCGTCATGTTTTTGTTAAAATTTTAACAATTGTCTATGTTGGACGTTAACTTATTGACTGAGATATGATAAAATCATTTTTAATGATATCTACTAACATCATCACTGCTTTTAAACCTAGCTCGACAATATAATATTTCATGCGCCATTTTATCTCAAATAAGAGAAGCTTTAATAAGATTAGCCGGAATTAGTGATGATGGAAAAGTGTGTCGAAATGTTGAATCACTAGTAAATGTTGAACTTTCTAGTTTTAAATTTATTTTAAGTTTAGTTATATGACATGAAATTTTGTTTAGAATTAATTTGGTTAGTAAGAAATTACAATCCAAAGATATGCTTCTTGATGTTGAGGTTAAAACCTTAGAGGGGTTAATTAATTACTTTGAAGAATATAGGAAATTGGGTTTGACAATTCTATTAATGAAGCTAAAGAAATAGCATATAATATTAGGGTTGAACCTCAATTTCCTAAAAAATGTATTTATCATAGAAAAAACAATTTGATGAAATTTCAAATACCGAAAGAGAACAACAATCTTATCAAAAGCATTTCGAAAGTATTACTTTATTATTCTTGTAGATATGACTCTTGTTCAATTGAAAAGTAGATTTGAACAAATACAACATTTCGAGTCTATATTTGGTTTTTTGTTTGATGGTTCAAAGTTAATTTCATCACTTGATGACTAACTAAAAAAATGTTGTTTAAATCTCGAGTCCAATTTGACAAATGGTGAAGAATTTGATATTGATGGAAAATATTTATTTATGGAGTTATAAATTTTGCAGAAAATGTTGCCGGATGAAGCACACAAAGGTGAAAGTCCATGGACATCTATTCAAATAATGGAGTTTGCAAGAAGAATAGATATGTTCCCTAATGTGTTGATAGCATATAAAATTTTGTTGACGGTATCGGTTACGGTTGCTTCCGCTGAAAGAAGTTTTTCAAAATTGAAGCTCTTGAAATCCTATCTTCGAAACACGATGACTCAAGATAGATTAAACGGATTAGCAATTCTAAGCATCGAAAGTCAATTTTTACAAAGTCTTGATTATCGTAAAATAATAGAGGTTTTGCTTCAAAAATGCACGAAGACATCATTTTAGGTGATATTTGTAGTCTTGTAGGTTTTGGTTTGTATTAGTATTGATATTGTTTGACTATGATTTCTATTACATTTTTGTTTTAAAAAAATTGTTTATGTTTTGTCTATTATACGGTATAAGTATAGGGACATAAATTATTATCTCGCCCAGGACATTAAAATTCATTGGACCGACCCTGTTTATAAGTCTAATTACTTAATGGGAAGACAATAGTAGATTACAAAAAGTTTTCTTCAATATGAATCCTTACTTTCAATAATAATAATAATAAACAAAAAAAACTAATATGATTTTGGGTCACAAATTTTAAATAACTTTAGCTTAACACGAATCTTAAAATTTCAATCTAAAAAAAATAGATTTTCCACATCTTCCATAAAATCCTTTAAAAAAAAAACAATTCGATTCGTAAATTAGAGTTGTCGTTCCTTTCATTTCCGGTTTCAACCATCAGATTCAGGGATTCAAATTACGGTCGCGGTCGCGTTTTCAGTCATGTCATATTTACCGCAATTGCGGCCATAACGGGTATACCAGAAGGCAGCGCTACCGCTATTGCGGTCGCAGACCGCTATTTAAAACCCTGATCAGATGAATGAGTTGAGTAACATTGAATATAAAGCATTTGATGCAGATTTTATGGGATTTGTCCATCCGGTTTCATAATATAGACTCTGGTTAAGATGACACATAACATCTGCATCGGTTTAAATTGGATGGACAATCTCATAAGATCAATTTGAAAAAGAATCTGCATCCATTGCTTCGTATTTAATATTTTTCCGGTTAATTCTTTGATGTGATGGTTGAAACTGAAAATGAAAGGAACGACAACTCTAAATTACTCATCAAATTTATTTTCTCACCATCTCGTTTGTTCAAACAGATAAAGTTTACATTTCTTTCAACTCTTGAAAACAATCACTCAATTCCCCAAGTCACCATGACCGGGAGTTTGAGGGTAATAAACCCGATAACTAGGCGGAAGCGTGACGCCCATAGTAGCACAAAACCTTTTAACTCGGTTGCCAAACTCAGGTGTGAACCTTCCATGATTAAACATCCAATTCTTGCACT